CGTTTAATTGGAATTGAAACATTCTGGGGCTGTAAACATTCTTTATTTATTCAGCACACATAAGCGGGCATTGTTTTATCACCATCATAATTATAGTGTCCTTTAAACTGGCTGATAGTGCAGGAGATGAGGGAGCGCGACCGTAGCCCGGGATGAAACCACTGGGTCACCGGGACCGGCGCGGGCCTGGGACATGTGGAGCGCCGGAGGATTGTGGCCTGGCCATCCCTGACGTCCTGGAAGCGATCTGTACCACACTGCTGATGTGCGATTCGTAACCTCCTGGTCCCCCTACGTTTGCGACTGCCTTGCAGTTCGCGGGGGACATTTTTCAGCGTGTGGTTTCCCAGCGCGGAAATGGAGAGCGGTCACCTACATGCAGGAGAGGATCTTCTTTCCCAATGTTTGTTGCTTTACCTTTGCCTAATTAAAAATGCAAACTTTTAGGATCCTTTCAGAACAAAGCCTCACCAAATCCTCTTTACGTCCAAGGATTTGCAAATTTATAAAGGCTGCATTGAATTCAGCGTGGGTCAAGGGGCAAAAAAAGGGCAGAAGGTCACTGCATTTTGATTATGGGTCAGTAAACAACATGGCAAGTAGTATGTGTCCAGAAACTCCTGCTAGAAAAGTATTTTGAAACTACCAGGAGTATCAAACTCAAGAAATATTCTTAGCCCGCAGTGATTATAAATTGCACAAAATTCTAGTGTGCAAGTGACGCCCCAGCCCCCACGGAAAAAATACAACTTAAAAAGTGCTTAGCAGAACCCTGCGTTGCTGCTTTGTTTATAAAAAAAAAGGGGGGGGGGGGTAAGAAAAAAAACAGCCCTGAAACTCCTGTGCGTAAGAGTGTTAGCCAGATTATGATTTTATTTTTTCGAGACTGATGGTTGACATTTCTTTGTCCTACGCATTTAGGAGATTCAGTTCTACATTCCGATTTGTTGTCATACTAGAATTTACGGCAAATTTTAGGTACTGCAGTCACATTTGGCTGACTTTAAAATAGCAGAAGGATCCTATTATACTGTTCTTTGACCCTATTATATTTACGTTACTGGACTCTTTGTGATAGCCTCTGGCTGCTCTCTGTCTGTGTCCTCCTTCAGCAAAATATGCCCAGCAATATCTAAAAGCAGGGTATAGGGCTAGAAAACAAGTTCTCGTTTGGAATATGTATTTCTGCCCAGCGTAGTGAAAGCAAAAGGTTTATTTAAGGCTTGTCAATACCTGAAGACATGGTCCGGCACTCGACAAATGATAATAAATAATAATAATACTCTAATAATGTGGCAATCCTAGTGTGAAAATGCACATGACCTCTCAGGTTTTCCTGAAGATTTTCAAAAGAACTCTCCCCATTAGTACGACCGCTGGTGGACATCACCGTTGCCTTTCCCAACGAAACGTTTAAAAGACTGTAAATGGTGTGTGCATTACTTGGTTGCAGAAGGAAGAGGTCAGGCTGAATTGCACTGGTATTTAAACATAATCATACTATGAAAATAAATCAAAACATCACGTAAAAGGAGTATTTTAAATGTTACACGCGTTTTCTTTCCGGAACGATGTGGTTAAGCACTTCGCCGCGAGCGTATATATTTTAACACAAGTTTACAAAAATGAAAGCGTATGATTTCCAATGAATGGGAATAGGTCTACAGCGAGGTGTTATGAATATTATTTTGTTCTTTCTTTTCTAATGAGGTTTATCCTTCGGCCAGACAGCTTGAAGACTGAAATACTGCTGGCTATAGAGTGTAGATTGCAGATTGCACGCTACTCAACGTGAAAAGGAGCACGTTTGATTGATAGTCTCTGTGTGTGCGTGTGCGTGTGCGCGGCCCTACACACACAACTCTCTGCGGTTCCCTCTGTGTGTGCTGGGCAAAACCGGGCGTCTCTGGGCGTCCTCACCTCGAGAGATGGGAGACGGACCCCCATCCCTTTAATCATGCTCATCTTTGGTCAGCAGCGAGGGTGGCACAGTCCACAAAATTAACAGAGAGTCCCTTGCTTTTTGAGACATAGCTGGGTGTACAGCTGCGTCTGCACACACATGTGCGACGCGGGCACGCAGGCACGTACCCCGGTGCCCAGGAAGTAAATTATCGTGTAACTTTTCACCTAATTGATGCCAGACACCTTTAAATTTTCATTTTCATTCATTTTTTGCCGGCTTTCACGTGAACGATCTGAGCCGTAAGCGTCGGTGCCTATTGATCGCGGTCCCCTGCGTGCGTGCAAATCCATTTTCGAGTCCCCCGCCTTGCATGTGCGTGTGCAAGGGGCCTC